AGTTGGCCGGTCAGCTCCTGACTGCGGCTCATCTTTGGCAGCATGCAGGTATGTGTTGAGGCCCCCAACGCCTAACGCGTTCAGGAGCAGCGCCTTCTTGTGCTCCGGCGTGGGGTACCTGGCAGCGGCGTCAATGTAGATCTGTAACACATGACACCACTGCTTCCGTGAAATAGGCGGTACACCGGGGCACTGAAGGAACGGAGGTGAAGGGATAGTCGCGTTCATGATTGCCGAAGAGCGCGCCGAGAAGGCAGCTCAGGGGAGACGCACGTCGGCAGGCCTCGTCACCAGACTAGCCCGGGAAGTGTAGAAAAGCAAAATGCATGCAAGAAATACAGTACCGGTGGGACAGCTTGCACGGGTACTGAGTCGACAACACGAGGAAGGAGGCTTGATGCCCACCTTGACGCCTGATGGACGTGGATTGGAGGTCTTCGTCACCAAAATGTACTATCGTGTGGTGAACGCCCCGCCCGGAGAAGACAGGGCATGGCACTGAAGCGACGGCCGACACGAGGTACACAGCAGCTGGCAGCCGAGCTGGAACTCGTTTATGTTGTGGGACAGCAAGTAATCTGGCAGCCCTATGCTACATGCTAATCTAGCCGTGACACCGTTTCGCAGTAGTTCTTAGGCGCGCGCGTGTTCCATGACTGCATTGATGCTGCAGCTCCTTGTTAATGTCGCTTTCGCCTTGTCACCGCCTTGTCTACGTTGCCGAGCCCTCATATTTGGCGCAGTCATCGACGAACCATGCAGAGGAAACCGGAGCCACTCGTCCGTTTCGTGTGAGTTGGTGTTTTTACGCTAGCTTCCCGCCTCATTGCCTTTGCCGGCCCTCAGCCTTCTCCGGTCTTGCCCGCCCGTCCATCGACCGCAATGCCGCTTATAAACTGGAATGAGGCTACTGTAGAAGACCTTCAAGGGTTCACAATGGGCTTAATTCGCCATGAACTTTCGCGCCGTAATCTGGAGGCGACTGGCTCGAAGGATGAAATGATTGAACGCTTGTTTCATGACGTAGCCCACAACTGTCAGCCATCTTGTGGGTCCGACTGGCAGCTGAGCAGTCGTTTTCAAGTACGAAAGTGCTGAGTGACTTACTGCAACGTTTTTTGACGTTGTCACAACGGCCGATGGTTCCAGTCCAAGTGACTACGTTGCCCGACCTTTCGGCCTCGCTGCCAACCTTTAGTGGTGACGGTAGCATTTCTGCTCACCAGTGGCTTGAAGAACTCGAGCGTATTCAAGGCATAGCATCTTGGACACCATCTACTCTCCTAGTTGTAGTGCTTGGTAAGCTCCGTGGCACTGCTGAAGATTGGAAAAGCGTGGCAGAAAACCAGTTGGACACGTGGGAGAATTTCAAAGCTGCATTTGAGAACCAGTTTGGAGACAAACTTGCGATATTACAGTGGCAGCACATAGTCACCAGGCTCGTCCAGTCACCCAGTGAGAGCCTAGTTGACTACTCTTTAGCGAAACTGCGCGTAATTGCAAGATGTCCGGTCCAATTAACAGATCATCAGCGCATTGAATATGCCTTACCGGGTGTGCGTGACGCACACTTGGCAAGAACTATCGCTGCACTACGACCACCAACTGTGAGCGCACTTCTTGCCATCGTCACCCAACTTGGCTGAGCTATAGAGCATGCCTCTGCTTTCCGAAGTCAGCCGCCCATCACAGCCGAAACATCAATGTCACGAGTGCCTCCCGTGCCTGTGCAGTACATTAGTATTATGAATGACAGATATTCTTAACCAATTAATCTGGCTCAGTCACCAGTTTCGTGCAGAATCTCGTTGTTACCCTTGAATCAACAAGACACTCGTTATCTTGCAATTAGTTCCCGAAATGGCGCACCTGCTTATCGCCTCAGGGAAAATATAAGTGAGGCCATATAAATGAGGCTACCCAGCCAGCAAACAAGTTTTCCTTCCCTGGCGTGCCTTCAACCTTCATAACCATTCGAAGGATCTGTTGTGCAGTGCGCTGCGATTCAAGCAGACATTCCACTTGTCAGCACTGTAGACGTATTTCCAGACAGTGGTTCAAAGCACACCATACTATCGCTAGATGTCATTGGATCCGCTAACCTGCTACTATTGACCACACCTCCCATATCTGTTGTAGGTGGCGGTACTGTCATGCCAGTTGGTACATTTTGTACTCCTATTGCTGTGGGGCCTATTTCGGCAGCACTTGAAATTCTCCTTCTGGCTAGAAATCCCTTGCATTTAAACCTCGGAGAGGACTAGATTGAGGCCGCCCGCGATAAGCTCCTTGTCCAACCGCTTCATCCAACAAAAATTCACCATCCTGGCATGGGTATTGTCATGCGATGCCTGGACAAGGCACTGCCTCGGATGTCCAATACTGTTTTGCTGCCCAACAGCGCTACGCTTTTTTTTTTACTCGGACGACGTTTTCTACAGCCTATTCCCCGTTTTCGCCAGTGCCGCACACACTCTAGCCCACGTGGTTATTTCTCGAATCAAATGAAGGGTTGTCTAATGTGATGCTACATGAACCAAAGGCGGTGCCACTTCAGTCGAATGATACGACGTTGGAAGTGCCATGGCCTCAGCTACGGGATGCCCACACATGCCCTCAGTTACAACAAGACGACACTGTAGTTCACCACGTATTGCGCCAGTATTTAGACGTCCCTGCCACTGATGACAATGATTCGGGGCTTTACAAAAGTACTGACCAGTCCACTGCATTTTTTCCAGATATATTTTCATACTTACGTCACCTGCGAAGATCCACCGAGGAGGATGACGATTTCATTTAAAGCCTATGTCAAGAGCTTCATGCTAAAGATTCAAGCGTCAATATGGGACGGCTGGATCCATAACATTGCCAGAGAGTTAGCCATTCACTGCAAACCAATGAATCGAAAGCGGAGGCACAATAGGAAGCCAAAGGAAGGATGCACTCAGCCGTACTAAAACGTGTTACTTTTCTGGATGAACCCCGATAGCATCTCAGCTATAATATTGAGGCTCTCAGGGATAAGGTACTAGCAGGTGGTCAGCGCAAGGCCAAGGAACAAGCCACCTAGCCAGCTACTAAGCCAACCCAGAATAAGCGACCCAAGCCAAGTCAAGGAGGCCTAGCTGCTGCGCGCTACATGAAAGAGGAAAAGACATCACAGGATGCAGCAGCCTTCTGCCATGACAACTGTGCGGAAGAAGCTCAGAAAGGCGGAAATGTTACTGTGTTCTGGACAAGAAAGAAACTATCAAGGTGCCCCTATTTTTGATGACGACATCACTGAAGCAGTGCGAGAAGAGGCTGCAGACCAGCGCAAAATGTGGGATTCATGCACTAAGCAAGTGGAAGAACATCAGATAGAGAGCCAGCAGAAATTTGGGACAACATTAAGGCACGCAGAAAGACCAAGCCTCAGAGAAAGATGAAGAGTTTCAAGAAAGAGGACCACATTGTTCCAAGATTCTGAGAAGGTATTGGTGTTTTGGTTGCTGCAAGACTATGAGACAAAAAAAAAAAAACTGGTTGGGGTGTGATGCAAAAAGCCAATCGAGCATTTTACAAAAAACAAAAAAAAGAGGGGGGGGGGGAGGTGTGAGACAGCAAGTAATCTGGCAGCTCTGTGCTACGTGTTGATCTAGGTGCGACAGTGTTTCGTAGTCGTTCTCAGGCGCGCGCGTGCTCCATGGCTGCATTGATGCCGTAGCTCCTGTTTATTAAAGTAGTTTTCGGTTATCGCCGCCGTGTCTACGTTGCCGAGCCCTCACAATGTACACAAGCATGCTATTAAATACATATGTACAGCGCCCCCTGGGGGCCCGAGAATCAGCTCCGGAACCGAAACCCCGATACCATACTGCCGAAAGCGTTCGGCGTGTTTAATTTAAACATGACATAACGAGCTAACAGCGAAGCTGCACACACCACGCTATAGTGTTCTAGAAAGTTGCCGTGATTGATGGGCGCACAGGGGGCCACGCACTGAGCTCGGACCAGTTTTCTTTCATTTTTTTCAACTACATCCGCGTCACCGCCTACGCTTCCGAAGTTCGCTTGCATTTCTGTGCAGTAAATATGAAACAGCGCATAAAAAACCATTGCGTAAGTTTTGCACTAACGCTTCCGTTAGGCGTTGTCCTACATTGAAGTTGCTGGTGGCTCCACCATGCATGTTCCCTTATCCGGCTTCAAGCAGCTGACTCCAGCAAGTCCATGGGCTTGCAGGGGTCTCCTGCTAAAGTGGTAGCGCCTTACCCCTTTCTAGCAAACTTTATTTCAGGTAGACAGATTACCGCCAGGAGTAATGACCGCCTATCGTTGTGCGATGACGCGGTGAACGAATGCAGTGAGTGCGTGAACAGACCGAGAGACAAAGATGGGAGGTAATGATTAGTGCTATCCGTCAGATAAAGGGTTAAACAAAGCAGAGTGACCACCAACGCCACTACCACCGTCCGCTACGCAAGAACAACACTGGGTGGGCCACCGAGTACATGTTTATTCGTGCACGGGCACCACGTTCGATCTCATCAAAGCAAATCTAAGCCGGTAACAATATCGCACATAGGTGTTTTAACATGTATAGCGCACGCGTGAAGAAAAAAATTGCATCATAATTAAAAGAAAGTAGCTACTTTCTTCTTAAACGAGTTGTGTGCAAAATAATTTTGTCAACTATTTCGTTAAATCAGGTTTATGGCAACATTGAGTTCTATCGGTGTTTGCGAAAGAATGCAAAATACTTCGCTAGGTACGAAACATTGTAAAATCTGGTTTCGTAAAATCTCCCCTAACATTGCCGCTGATGCAACCACTTTCAAAAAAGAAAACTACAAGGGTTGTGGCAGATATGCCATCTCCGAATAATGTGCCTTTGCTTCTTATGTTAATGCTTAGACGCAAGCGCGTTTGTTTAGAATTGCACCATGTGCAACCATCTTGCAACAAGCGTGTACTTTTGTTACATAAAATAATACACACCCGCAGTAACCGCTGTATAGTTGATATTCTCTCACGAAAACAAAAGTTTATTTTATTTATTGTACTGTTACTAGTTGTTTTTTTTTGTCATATTCCCTTGTTTACCGCTTCAATGATGAGCTCTACGAAACTTTGGACCTTGCGGTCATTCGGGCCCAGCGCCGGCAGGTTGGGAAGCGCCTTGCAGAAATCAGAACCTCTTTTGTATTTTTTACACAAAGGAGTTAGAACCTCTCCCAGAACCTTGTCCAACAGGCTTGTCATGAACTCCTTGCCGCCAACTTTATCGCAAGGTGTCAGCGCTGGCTCGGCGCAATCGAGCAAGCCACCATAGGAGCTGGAATAAATAAAGAAGGGAAACACAATTAACCAGGCTGTTTTTTAGATAGCGAATACCGCAATTGTGGCTTCAAACGGGACAAGTTATTTCTTACTAACGCATACACTTTTGTTTTCACTCCCTTTTGTGTGGAACATAAAGGCTTGACTTTAAATAGGGCGGATCAGATTAGAGACAACATTAGCTTGAGAGAACATATTTCTTTCGACTTGTCAATGCGATCTCGAGATATTGAGCATGCCTCTCATTACACAAAAATAGTCACGTTTAAAATGTATCAGCTAGCACTCAATCGATGAAGGTGATAAGCCATAAGACATTGCCTTAAGTGGGTTTCACTCTTCCTCCATAGTCAGGATGCCGAACGCCAAAAAGCACCAAGTCAAATTATTCCGTAGTGGATCAACATCGTTAATGCACCCTGACTTCATACAACTTTGTAGAGGCATATGCTTTAGTGTTGCTGCAGAATCTACGGAATATGCTTAAAATAATGTACGTGAATTTAACAGTTCTGTTTACAAGTAACATCGCGCACAGTCTTATGGAGGTGCTTTGTACTAATTATTGATGAAATATTTAGCAATCCAATACAGCTGTGCCAGCTCACTCACACACTTGTAGTAAATCAAATTCTAAATATGCTCCAAATTGTTTGAAATCGTGCAATAAACCACTCCGATAAAACTACCTTAAGTAAACGCAGAAACAAGAAGAAAAGACGGTATTCATGGGTTGTGAATACCATCGTAGCCAGGTGAATACCATTCATAGCCAGGTGCTCGCTACAACCCCATCACAAAAACAGACGCGCGTGTCAGAAGAAGGTGGGATTAGTGAGAGCTGCTCGCCGGGCAGAGCACTTCTCGCCGAGGTAATGTCTGGCCGCATCGCAATGACGCTCCCCTCGCGGGCCTATAGGCAATCGTCGACTGAATATTCAAATAGTCTTTTCTCTCTCCCTCTCTCTTGTGTTTTTGGAGTTTCGCCATCTTCAGTCGTAATACGTAAAACTCGCCTATTTCTCAGCCAATTTCACGCATACTATGCTCAGGCAATTTCTGTGCATGCAAACATGGCAATATTACTTCACGCCGCTTGCAGCCATCACCACTCGTAGCCCTGCCGTCATGGTTTTGAGGAGCGTTGACACACTCCTTGGTTTCCGGGCGCATCATTACCCGCAAAAATGGCCGATAAGGTGACCGCCACCGTAGCTGTACCTGTAAAGCGTCAGCCACGTCAACCGAAGACATCACCATTGCTGAGCAAGACAGAGGACAAAAGAAGGACGTCCATACAGTGCTCTGGTTCTTTTGTCGTGCAATGTTGAAGAGTGCTATAAAATCGCGAAATGCGTTACAAATACCACCAAGCCAACGTTTTGTCAAGTTACTGTATTTACTCAAGTGCAACATGAATATTTTATTTTCAAGATTTTTCTAGCTAAGCTCAACACTCTCGCTCTAAAAAAATACTGAAACACCACATGTTTTCTTCCTTGACGCGCTGAAGTCACCCAACGCGATACGATCGGTGTCGCGTTGCAATTGAATAAATGCGGTATCCGAAAGCTAGGGACAGCGACAGGCTGCCGTTGTGTACATGTCCGTTTTTGCATGCTTATATCGTACTTGCAGCAACACAGTTCACCTAGCACAATGAACCTTTTCCATAATTCGCAAATGTGCTTCTCTGCACTGCTTATTTGCCCAAGTAATGGCCGCACCTGTCGTGCTTCTGGCGGAGACGCGGTCGTGGTTGAACGCGCTGGGGTGGTCTATTACGAGCGCTTATATCAAGAAGGCCGACGCTATATTTTTCTTGTAATTGCGTGAGCAAACCGCACTTGAGCAGGCTCTTTGTAGTAAATTACGAACGGCCATGAGTTGTTCAAACTGTATAGCGGGAAAGCTAACTATAAATATGAAAAAGTTCTATTAACGCCCACCAACCTTTCTTGGCCTCATGGTATGTAGATTTTATTAAGCTTGTTGAAGGAATGTGCTATATAAGCTGAAACAGACTATCATTCCCGCCACGTCTCAATATATTAACGTCTTCATTTCCTTTATTCTGTAATTAGTTGTTATAGATGCGTGCGATCAACGTGCCAAGGGATCTTAAAGTTTGATAGGACAACTGGCCAATAGTATTTCCGGATGTAAAGATTTCACAAAATGGCTTCCCTTTCTACACTTCGGCTGCCGATTGAGAACATTGGTGTGCCCATTTGCCTCTAAAAACAAAGGAGGGAACAGCCAGCTCGACAAACCGCCAAACGCAATAACGGAGCGAAAACACACTTCTCTACATGCCGGCTTTCCGGCTTAGCACCAGTAGTGACTCATCAAAGATGTCTGTCTCGAACTTCAATATGTTTTACCCTTCACTATGTTTAACCTGAGTGCTACAAGAGCACCCATCTTTTCATGCTTCACGCCTCCCCACTCTTCTATTTTTATACGGCTTATAACAAATTTTCTTAAAAGGAATCGACATAGAACATCAGTTCCTAGGGTACAGAGGTTGCAAGAACGTCGACGGGGTGTTGAGTCACGTCTATAGGCCCATCCACCTCGTAACACTTCTGAAACAGAAAAGTTAGATTATGCTCACATAACATCAATTATCTTGAGGAAACACTCTTGCGCATCAGCCTCACCATGCCTTCTTGGAGCAGATCACACTTTGAAAATATCAACAGCTACATAATGAACCAATAGAGTTGCTGAAATCGGGGTTACATTACGGGGACTTTGTAGGGCCAACTACTCGCGACGTGTGCTGCCAAATTAGAACTCCAGACCAACATTGTAGGATAGGCAGCAGCTAAATTGCTTTTACCTTAAATTACCTATGCCGCTGCACTCAGTTTGAATGTTCGTTCACTGACTAAGCGATGTTTTCATACAAACAACTCGCACAGATCCTTACCAGCAGAGGTGAGGAATGAGGTCCTTCTTGGGAGCTTTGAGGACAGCCTTTTGAAGGTTTCCTTGTAGATTGTTCACGCAGCTATGAAGCTTCGCTCCAACGGAATTCAGACAGCTAATGGATTTATGGTAAGCTGCGTAACAAGCGTAACGACACAAATCAGCAAATTACAGTCGGCTAACAATGTGTGACGCTGTTGCTTGGATAGGCAACGAGAAACGGTGACTATGGTGAATTTGTAAAGAGAGTGCACGTGAGACATCGCAATGATGCCTCCGAATGTTGCATTTATTCGATAGAAATTTTTATTATATACTTGCTACGCCTAAATACAGCACCATCAGCTCGAAAAGCACTGCAAGTTCTGGGCACCCCAAACCAGTCCTTGGATGCCTTATTTAACACCATGGATGGCAGCGACGAAGTCAACTCGTACTTTGTCGCAGTTCGCAGTTTTATGACATTCTGGGCATGTGTAGTACGCGCCGCTATGCGTGCTAATGAATTATTTTACCTCTATTTCTATCTTATTATTTTCTTTTGCTCTACACCGTCCACCCTGTTAAGTAACAAAACAGGTTGAACTTGGTTAATCTCTTTGACTTTCCTTTGCCTTTCTCTCTCTCTCTCTATCAAACTTTTTACACTAATGCCAAACTGTACTTAGACACTAAATGTTGTGGGGCAAACTACACAGTATGACTATTGGCATCGCAAGATATGCAGCTCGACTATCTTTTATCAGATGAGATTTTATTCAGGTGACAGGCTCTTAAGTGTTTTCTGGCTTGAACATTTCACGTTACCTGCTATTAGGCCATGTTGCGTGATTTTAGTCATGTGACTGAATGTTTCATGATTTTTGACAACGTTTCTAGATTACAGGCAATGCTACGTGATTATTAGTCACGTGAGTAGCTACGTGGTGCTGCGTGATTCTTGTGACGTGACTACTTATATTATGTATTAGAATTTTTCGTCGTATGATAGTAGCTTTTACATGATCTTACGTGACTTCAATCACATGAATAGTTAATATGCAACGTTTCGTTATTTCAGTCAGGAGACTAACTGCCGTGTAGTCTTATGCAATTTCAGTCTCGTGACTATTCATTGCGGAGTGCTGTATAATTTTTAGTCACGTAAAAAACTCATGCCATACTTTTTTGTATTTCACACTACATAAATTGGCGCAAAGGTTATGGCACCTAAGCCAAAGTTGAGGAGGAGGAAGCGAGCACGTACCGATCCACAGTGACAAAATGACGCAATGCTGAAAGTTTAGGGCAAATTCGCCTTATAATCGGCCAATCCCCTTCTTTGGGTACGAGCCATGTGCACAGGAAAACAACAACAACAACAACAACAACAACAACAACAACAACAACAACAACAACAACAACAACAACAACAACAACACAGTGACGGCCATTCCCGTTTGCACTACCTGGTGCAACGAATAGCTCAAATAGCTGCGCTCTTAAAATTTTATTACTTAGGCCCGTATTCACAAACCAACCTCAACCTTACCTCGAGTTTTCCTTGTCGATTTTATGCCTTTATTGCGCTTGATGAACAAAGTAGGCCCGTATGCATCAACCAATCTTGTTGTCATCTTTTACCCTGTTACCATTTCTGTGCCTTTATAACGCTCTTATAGAGTACAGGACCTTGAGGGAAACGGGAGGTAAGGCCAAGGTTGGTTTGTGAATACGGGCCTTAGATGTTCAGTCCGTTCTCACTGTCGTCGCTCTTGGGAATTGTATAGCGCAACTTGTCGACGGGCCACAGAAGGATAGGAACACACACAACATAGCCCTGTGGTTGTATGAACGAAAAATATTCGCGCGACCAGTGCTTTGAAGAATATTACGCAATGCATTCGTATTCAGTGTGCTGATAAAAAAACATTAAGCGGAATTTTGTAGCTGGCTTCAATGAAAATTGCTAGTTTACGTACATGAAGAAATCAGAGTGTATAATGATGTCCAAATTTCCTTCTTCATGATTTCATTCATATCTATACAACAGTGCTATAAACTTTCGTTCTTATTCGAATAAAAGTTTATGGTTCGTGAAATTTCTTAGCAATAAAAAGCAAAATAAACTCTTAGACTTGATAAAAAAATATTTACTGAAACATAAATATTCTTGCGCAATAAGTAAGTGAAGAGAAAACGTTAAATGTAACCTTTATGCAGGAAGATTGACGATAGCCTGAATTATACTGAAAATACGAGTAACTGCATCTATATAATGATTTGTATCAATAACTAATGTCGCTTGTTTCACGCGGCGTTTATTCAAAGCCTAGGTTCACAAGCTAATATAATGTTAGAGTCCAAGGGTGGCTATAAGTCTTTTTATGACGACTAAGCTAACTGGCGTGTTTGAAGTTCTAGCACAGATACATAGCTCAGCGCACGATGGCACTTATGCATATGCTATAGTGCACAAAATTATATTTATGCGTGACAGCTTACCTTCGTTGAGCTTAGAATCCGTGGTACATATTTCATCGACGCTTTCTTTGTAGGTTTCCAGCGCTAGCGTCGCCACAGCCTTGGCTACACCTTCCAGGCAATCGGCTGCAAACGTTTTACTGCACGTAAGCTGTTTCTTAAAAGTCCTGAAATTGAAATTTCAGCAGGAGTTACTGTCTCGTAACCCATAATAGCGAAATTCTGGAACGGTCATGTAATGTAAATGAGCCGCAAGAAGCAAGCAGATATAGGAGTACGGTGAATTGGGAAAGTTAGTATTTATTTATTATGTTACAGCAAGAAAATAATGAAAAGTTACTGACGCTTACCTTTTTTTTTCGCGCTGTATTGAAATGGGGCAGATATTTTTGCTGTTCTGTGCGCCTATGTTGAACGACTCATAGGTGCATTTTCAACGAGGTCATGTGTAAGAGCCTGTGTTTCAAATTGCGTTGTTGCAATTGGTGTCATTGATTGTGAGAGAAAAATTGCTGTTGTGTATTAATAAAAAATGTACTTCATGCAATGACCAAAAATTAGAATCCCAAGTAATGACTTGGAGTTTGAGCTGAAAATGATTTCAGGAATTTTGTGCCCCGTCGGGTATTTCACCTCGTTGCCACGTCTGCGCTTGAAAGTGCTTCAGCCTATTTCCTGAAACAGAAGCACTTTCATGAGTCGCAAGAGTTTCCTCCATGTTTTATAATTTAAAATTATTTGATTTCAAGTACAAGCCACGTATCAGTTTTTCTTTCTTTTTTGTCCTTCTCCAATTAATTGCGTGCTAGGCAGAATACATCCGTACGTTTTTTTTCTGGTTTCACGACAGTACGTGTACGAATGAAGATCAATAATGAATTCATCTCCTTAATTTGAACATCTGATTTTAGTCGCCCAATTAGGGGCCCATTCACCACGATTGCTGTTGGCCAGAATTTTAGAACATACATATATAATTGCACCTTTTTAACACGATAGAGGAAAACAGCTGGTTTCGTGAAAATTCCGATGTCGGCGTCGGTGATGACGTCGTAGGTTATGAGCGAAAAGTAATCATATTGCCCGTGACCGACAAAGCAAAAAAGTTGGAAATAAAATGAATAACAAATATATTAGGACCCCTGTGAGAACAGAAATCAGGCTGTCTGGGGAGGAGGGAGCAGGTGTTCTACCAAGGGGCCTGGCTATTGTTTAAACTGCCTTTTAAAAACAAAAAAAAAACAACAGCATATTTACGAAGTGAATGACGATTAGTAGGGTGAAGCGTTCGTTCATCCGTTTCTCTGCGTGTCTGTTCATCCGTCCGCTCTATCACACTACAGCACGCTTCGGACGGACGTATAGACGTTTCACACCACTCATCATCATTCACTCCGTGGATATGTTGTGAACTTCTTATTATAGGAATACCATTACCGACATCTAGTGATATAATTTCTGAGGACATATATAAACACAACGCCATCCAGTGCGCAATTTTTAAAACTATAAGTGGCTATGACAACTTCAACTACGAGGGCATGACCCTCAACCCTAAGGAATTCTACATTAAAAAAAAAGGGAAACCTAAAGATAATGTCTCGTAGTCAAAATATATATTCTCTTCAGTGCGTGGAGTGGTGCGCGGCAGAATCCTAGATTACCACCATGCGTCAAATTATGCAAACTGTGCAAGGAATGGGTCATTTATTTATTTATTTTAGTTGACGTGGTGTAACGACATGTTGGCGCATAAACAGGGCGCCAGCTACTCCTTACCCTTGAGAGGCATCTAACAGAGCACCTAGAGTTCAAGACTCCAAGCGTGAGATGTCGACGGTACATACGGTATACAGTTTAGCTTTAAAGTTAGGCTACGAGAATTGCAAAACAACGTATTCAACAATCACATGTACGTGCATACACGGCGATGTTAACAAATTAAATGTTGACCGATGCATATGGTCAACAATCACATAAGTGTGAACATATTTAGGCTGTCAACTTATTACGCATTGTGCGGCTTCGCAAGTGCACGTGCCACCTTGCGTTGCAGTAGTGGCTACTTCAGGAAAATATATAAAAAAAGCCAGATCTCACGTATCTGGAATCGACGTTATGCGAAGCATGCGGAGGGAAGGTTACTGTGTTGCAATTTTTTATTGAGCAACACGTCATGAAATGATGCTAAATATATCTATAAATGTTGCACGTACAGACAAATGTTGAAGAGTCGCAGATGTTTATATAACCAGTTGTTTTTACTTGCGCAACGATGCCAGCTGGAACATGAGTATTAGCAACACCAGAAACTATATGGAGCGCTGATGCTTGCGATAATGCTGGCCCTGGACACTGCTATATAAATCAACTTCAGCTTATGGCAACTAACCACGATTTACGTTAACCCGACGTGACGGCTGTAGCAAAGGAGTACATATGTAATGTTTATAAAATTGGGTAGGCAGCACTGCATACACTATTGACCTTTCACGAAGATCAGCTTCTATTTGAAAAGTTTTTCCGAGACCTGGCGTAGCTCTGTAGTAAAATACTTCATTTCCACGCAGAATACTTGGGTTTGATTCCAGCTGAGACGCCGATATTTATTCTTTGCATTCATCGAGTCGACGCTGTACCAATGTTGGGTATTTCTTTACGCTCGCGTGTTGAAATTGCCCATGTGTGTTCTCGTCATTCCTAAGTAGATACTAAGCGTCCATCAGCTGTGGCACATACCCCCATACCAACGGCACATACCCACCCGTGAGTATGTGCCACTGTCTGGCGGGAAGCGTTTGACGACGTACGTGACGGGATTGTGATATTATTTATGTCTTGAACAGCGCATCATATTTGTCAAACCATCTTACCCTCCCATGCTGATTTCCGTTCACGCCAAGTTATCGAAGTGACCACGAGAGCACCAAAACGCTAGCGCCTAGATAGATAAATACGCTGAAAGTCACCGAAGGTAGCTAAAAAAAATGCTTCGCATTTGAAAAAGAAAACTATAGTGGGCACTTACGCGCATTGCTTTACAAATGGCTCTCCGGAAGTCGCCAAGTGCGTGTCCTTTCCGAAGGGAAAGTAGTCTTCACCGCAAGCACGCAGTGTCTCAAATTTACAGCCATCCTTCAGCTTGGCTTGGCAAGTACCTGTTACGGGATAGAAAAAGACGGGTTTTTAAAAGCGTTTGAAAAGGAAGTCAAAGCTACTTATTAGACAGTTAACTCCTGATTCACACTCCTGATTCAGTGCGAAAAAATTGAGAAATTGATACACGTGCCCTTTTTATAACGGCCAATTGTACAAAAATAACCACTCCCTTACCAGCCTGAACTTCATTGACGTTAAGTAGTCTTCAGGGCGCAGCTAAAGCAGTATAGAGTACGAGGAAAACAATCCGTATCACGTTAAAACAGAGTCGTAACCAATTTCGTAATGTAACACCAGGTTAAACAGAAAGGCGCAGTTGTCTCAAGCAATGATACCTGTGCAATAGTCAGACACACTACCAGCGTTGTTGCAGTCGAGCTGCTAGGCGAGTTTTGTATATTTCTGCATCCATTCCTACACACACGTATGAATGCTGTCTCGAGAAAATCTTGAAATCAGAACAAATATTCAGCGGAGTTATGAAATGACATGGCACGCGCTTCAAAAGCACGAAGTGAAGGTACTCAGCCGGATTATCAAAACGCCGCTCTTTCTGGCAGGAACTCAAACATTGAACTCATTCCGCGTCTTATAAATCAATTTTAGAGCTTCAGACTGTACATGACAGAAATGGAAAACCAGTCAAAATGTTAAAGAGAGGCTTCTGCCAAGTCTAAAGAAGTAAAAATACATCCCCGAATAAGTACTTTGCAGTCATTGTGAGCGTCACCTTGTAGACAATTCGCACCAAGTAATTGTATTTACTGGCATCCGTCTATGCAGTTGAGGCAGGTTTGGCAGGTTTGCATAGATTTTACACACTAAAAAAGTATTGTGTGGCTCTTCTTTGCTACTTACCAGGTCCCAACATGCACAACTGTTTTCTAAGTCACATTGACCCTTTCGCAGAGTCTTGAGACGCATTACTGTTCAGAAGAGATGGCATGGTGTGCACTGAACTGCTCTGCACTTCACGACAATGTGTGGCATCAGTTGGAAATTTTCCAGGAATATATGAAGAACTATTCACCTATTCACCTATTCTTGGTCACCTATTCAAGTTCCCGGTAGCGTGAATAAGGCACACAATCGTGCCAACTAGCCCCCATAGTAGCCTTACTTCTGAAATCGATTTGTTATAGGTAGCTGACTCATCTATCTATGCGACCATTTGGTTGTGCCACAGTCAACAAGTGAGTCTATACTTGAAGAAACCTGACAAGGATGAAGTTGGCGCTTTCCAGGTAAGTTAAAAAATGTTGAAATACTTTCAAGACTGCAAGTGCTTCCTTGGTAGTGAAGTAATTGATTCGAAATGGTTTTAGCATATAGCTGTAGTACCCATAACGTAGTGCTTCTTCTGATAAGCCTGCTTTAAGGGTGCCTGATAAAGAGCTGCACCCGTTGCGCAGTGTAATGTGTTCGTGTTTAGTAAAAAAAGCAGAAAATAGTCCGTTATTTGCAAGGCTGGACCCAATGTTAACTTCACTGGCTCACACACGGCTTCTAACTCATAGCTTCGGTCGAAAGGCGTCTTTTTTGAGTCAGGAACATACGAGCCTCATTTTCAGAGCATAGTATTTGATAAATGCCCTGAAGTGCTTTGCCAGGTTAAAAAAAATAGAGTACACATCAAAAAATGTCACGTTGATCCCAGATTTTCGCGAAAGCCGCCCATCGCTTCAATGAAATCAATAAGGTATTTTCGTAATTGAATCTTAATGTTAAATGCTTGACATCTTTAGCATACTTTTGCTTTGATATGACGTGTATTCAATACAACTATTAGCTTGAGTGAAATAAAAATTTGGGCGAATTGGCTTTAGTTCATGACAACCGTACGTTAGCAAAAAAAAATAACAGTGCACGAAAAACGAGGACACACGACGAAGCGCTGCTAGATACTGAAAAGTTTATACAGGGTAAACCTACCCAAAACAAAGCTAAACCAGATGAATCCACCACTTCATTTTATATGCGTTTCGTGGTTTTCACTTGCAGCGAGACATCTGAATCCCCATTTACCGCGAAGTGGACCCCATACAGTTTCCTATATTTAACTAGAGGAGACTCTGGCGCTGCGATTGTTCAGCGACCGTGAGAGTTATGAGTAGTACATGAATTTGCCTAGTTTCCGTGCTTGCAGGCCACGAATCACACTTGTGGTTTCATGTATTGCTGTGTTTCGGTTTTGTTTCTAATAAAAAAAACCAACTTGTTTTCAACTTTGTGGCCCCATTCGAATTGGTGAGCCGAAAAGTTTACGGTGCTGAAGCGTAACTGATAAACTACTGCTTGTTGTTGTTTCGTGACAAAACAGCTTCAGGCCATGCGAAGCCAAACGGAATGTAAAGTACGTATATCAGGCAAATCCATGTACTACCCATAATTCCCACGCTTGAAGTGCCACGCATGCTAGCTTCATTAGACATTAGCGCCAAAGTCCCTGTATAAATCGGAAACTGAATGGCGGACCTCATGACTCCAAGCAAGAACCATTATGTAGAAGGTACCGACACGAAACGACGGTTCCGTCGGTTGAAGCGAAACTTCTCAGCACTGTCGGTCACAAGCGCGGCTTGGGGTGTATGAGATGTGTACTTACTTCGCCTTCGCGCGCGTGTGCCCGATAAGATAGTCATAAGTATGCATATTTCATTTCCTGTTGTCTTGAGCAGATAAGTACAACTTCTAATTCTTGCTTATAATACACCTGCCGTCGTATCTGAGGTAACGTCAATAAGGCACACATTCGGGTCAACTAACTGGCAAGACACGAGTTCAATCCCCGGCTACGACGGCTGCATATCGATGGCATAGAAATGCAAAAGCGCTGGTGTAGTTCTATATAGGAGAGCAAGGAAATATTCCAGGTAGTCATTATCATATCGCAATCCAGCACTGCAGCGCGCCCGATATTGACAACCCACTGCGAGCGCATCAAACATAATTAATACGAGTGCTTTTCATCTACCTCCCTTGCAGTATTTGTTTGCTTGTTATACGGCATGTCCACGGACAAAATCGATACGATGCTGTTTAGAACACGTAGAGCATCTCAAAATTATTGAAATCCAAATATCAAAACACATATTCCCTTCAACCAGAAGAGAAGTATTTGCAGTCCTTACAGTGTTTTTCCAGAGATACATATGACGCCCTTCAAGATAACTCAGCCCTTTCTGATTGATACTGGATTCTCCCTTTCCCTGAGCAATCAGATTGAGAGAATGACAAGAGAATAACAAGAAATTTCGGCACATTTTTCATGTATGTAGCACTTGATTCACTGTCAAAAAGCATGTAATTTTATTATATATGGATGTGGAAGTCGTGTATCGGCTAATATTACTCGCTGTCTTTTGCATGTAGGCTCCGCCCTGGTGTAGAGTGGCTAACGTATTCGACTGCTGACCCAGAGTTCGCGGGATGCAATCCCGGCTGCGGCGGCTGCATTTTCGATGGAGTCAAAAATGCTGTGCCCAGATTTGGGTGCACGATAAAGAACCCCAGGTGGTCAAAATTTCCGGAGCTCTTCACTATGGCGTCTCTCTTATTCATACGATAGTTTTAGGAAATTAAACACCACATATATATTATTCAATCAATCAATCAATCAATCAATCAATCAACAATCAATCTTGCGTGTGCTTTTAGTGCGCAGGTATTTGACTCTACAATTAGGGTATATAGATTCTGCGAATCGGAGCAATTTGATGAAGTCGACAGGTAGTCTTTTGTTTCGTCTATTCCCTCGTCTTCTACCTTACATAAAGCGCCTCTATCACACTTAAGAGATGACAATTGAAAAAAAAATGAAACCTTACCTGTCATGAACGCCACGACAAGCGCAAGTGTAATGCCAGGTAGTACATTCAACATCTTCGCACCCCCTTCTTACGCGCAGCTCCGAACCGAAGTGCGACGCCACAGGATAATTCATGAGAATTTAAATAGAAGCCCATTCGGGTGAATAAAAACAAGAAGGCAAGGAGAATCAGCAAAACAGTAGAGCTTTTGGTGACAACACCTTCCCACCTAAAGAGCGGACAACCTTGGTTTCAACATTGAGTGATCACACACATAGCTGTTACGCCACAAGGCTTTGTTTTTAATTGGCAATGCTCTTGAGAAAGTATGGTATTACAGGTCCGTGTCTATTAGGCTATCGACATATTTGCGCGTGCTCAGTGCCTGAAACACGCAGGAGACGCTCGGTCATTGCGCCGCTCATTTCTCTATCCATGCACGTGTTCGAACACTCGCAATGCGAAAGATATTTCGACAAAATGCAGTGAGTCTATTAGCAACTCACTCGTGTAGGCAGTAGTGATTAGAGTAACCAGTTCTGTGCCACAGAAGTCACGTTTCGTACAGGAAATCAATGCGCAATCATTTTAAATAAATTGTTTTGAAGATATAAGCGGGCTCTTGCAATCAGGCGTTTTCGAGCGATTGCGATGCCCTTCTGCAGGATATTACAAAGCGCTCGCAAAGGCCAACTTCGTGAACGACTGTGCTGAATCTTCGCACATTTTGAGGGTACGTGCCCAAGACGAGCTATTTCTGGACGGAATATCGGAAGCGCTTCCATATGAGTGCATATTTTGCATACGTTCAGCTACCTTCGCTATTAATTCCGAGAGGATGATTGTCTGATCATTTTTTGTTCTTGAATGTAAAACGTTTTCCTTGTGAGTTACGAGCAGGTACACGTGTGAAAGAACCAGGACATTTAATCTGCTTAGTGGTGCATTTATTGGTCTGTTTGGTTGTGCGCTGTATATATTACTGACGCACAGAGTGACTAATCAATCGTTTGCATCGTTTTTTTTTTGACGAACCAGCTAATCGACGTTTTTCATGTGGGAACCGCTATTTTACAGTCCCAGCACAGTCACCTGTTCGGATGCCGTGATTCTCATATAAAATCGTTAAAGATACAGCAGATATTGCTGTTTTTGATGGCGCTTATCTCAATACAAACTTCGCTTTACGTTGCGGGTATACTACGAGCTTTACTGCTTCCAATCATAACAGTCAGCAGCGAGCAAGGCATTGCTCCCACATTGTCGCTACTGACAGGATACACAAGGGGGTTCCGTGCGAAGAATTTTGCGGCTTGTGTGACTTGCTCTTCGGGTACGGCTCTCAATGAAGCCTTCGTATTGGAGATGCACGTTCCAGAAATTGTGCATCACCAGGACAGCGTATAGCTATCCAACAGTAGAGTACATTTAGCGCTATAAAGCGTTCACAAATTATTCTAAGCATTCACGTAGAAACACGCATGACCTGGCTCCCTCCCTCCCTCCCACTAGAACGTTATTATCCACTTTCCCTTCTCCTCCACTTCCTTCCGGCTGCTGTCACCATGAGTCATTTGCGCAAAGAAACATGCACGACGCGTGTCCTGTCTTCTCTATTGGCCATAAAATGCAGCCGTGGAACGTTTTAGGCCAAGCATAGAGCATTCGTCACACGGGAGGATGTTTTCGAGTCGAGTTTTTCACGCAGCATCAATGCAACTCCGACAATAAAAGTGTGTCTCAGCGCCCTTACAATTGCTATCGCAATGATGAGACAAATGACTAGTGGATATTGTTGCACGTTGAGACCAAGCCGTGAAACATCTGTATGGCGTGGCATTTGCGTCATGCACTCATTGTCATAGCATTTTAGAAGATCAGACACGCTCTCTGGGCTGAATTAAGCGGCCTAAGTTTAGCATACTAGGCAGTGACAGATGATTCCGTTAGAGAACCGTGTACGTAGGACGTTAAACCAAGGAGCTGACGAGCAGAATAATGCGATGTTTCCATTCATGCCAGTGTTTACGATAATCTCAGCTGGTATATAAACTGCATCGCACCCAGTTCCGACTTTATTTTTTCTGCGACACTTAAAATGAAGTGGCCCCGCCGCAGTGGTCTAGTGGCTAAGGTACTCGGCTACTGACCCGCAGGTCGCGGGTTCGAATTCCGGCTGCGGCGGCTACATTTCCGATGGAGGCGGAAATGTTGTAGGCCCGTGTGCTCAGATTTGGGTGCACGTTAAAGAACCCCAGGTGGTCGAAATTTCCGGAGCCCTCCACTACGGCGTCTCTCATAATCATATGGTGGTTTAGGGACGTTAAAGCCCACATATCAATCAGTCAATCAACTTAAGTTGAAGTTAGGAGTAGTAGGAGACTGCATTGCGGTGCACCACCCGAACCTTTAAGGAGGCCTTCCCGGGGTGCTTTCAGTTGTCAGAGGAGGTGTATACGTTAAATCTTTCCTCACAGCCTCCCTGCTATGGGCCGTTCTAATTAAACTAACAAATAGCGCTGGTCATTTCTTGAAAATGATTCATTACAGATATTTCTTATAACAAAGCCGTTCTTGCTGTTTTGTTTTGTTTTTGACATACGCAGTATCTTACAACCGCTCATCTTTTGACAGCTTAAAGATAGCATAAATACAGAATATTAGTCTTGCGGAAGATCATCTGGTGTATCAATGCTCATAAAAAAGGAAAACGGTCCTCCAGCCATTCACGGAGAAAGGTTTTACAAGAAAACGCATGCGAACTTTATGCAAGGAATCTAATGTAGCTAACGAAAAAGTGGTACTGTTTTGGGATTTCAATTGACACTCACACCACGAGAAGTTTGTTTTTGCATAATAGAACTTTCCATTAGAAAAACTGGGCAATAAAGTAAAATGTATATGTGTTTTGTGAACAGGTCGATCACGACTGGCATTGTCGAGATCCGCAACTTTATTATTTATGCTCGTGGATGATTTTGTGAGCGCTGCATTATAAATAAGACCCATATATAGAAAGTTATCGAAGACCTGCAAAGACCTACTCAAAGAAGATGAAAATTTATGCCACTTTTTTATAATACTACAGACTTACCACTGAGCCATAATATTCTGTTTGTATGTGCCCATTAGATGTGGGTTGCAAGACCGCTATTGTGTACAAAGTGAAGCAGGTGCTCGTGTTAACATGTAATGTGTTCAGCGGTTCTGGTGTCACTCTATTCAAAGACGAGTTGCAGGAGGTGAAGGGAGCGTTCCTGCTTTATCTCTTGGAGCATCTATACAAAATGGCGCCACATCTTTCTTTTCTTGTGACTCTGATCTGTATCATTTTGTTCCCGCAAATCTAGCATGTCTCTCAGCTGTGACATTTATTAGAATTTTAGTACCTTTTATCAAAAGCACATTTTTCTACTGCGGGATCGTCACGTGAAATGCTCAGAGACAGTGATCATTATAATATATAACAATAATATTATTTCTTTTGATGTCCCGGAACCACCATATCACAATAGAAGACGCCATAGTGCTGAGCTCTGGAAACTTTGAACACGTGGGCTTCTTCAACGTTCACCTAAATCTAGGTTTGCGGGCTTCAGGCATCCTCGCCTCCATCGAAAATGCGGCCGCCGCGGCAAGGATGCCATTCCGAGACCTCCGTTTCAGCAGGCCGGCGTCATAGCCACTATAAACCACCACAACATGACGAGTGAAATTAGTACCGGTTTACATGATTTTATTCACTTTAGAGAAACAGGCATATAATATATGGCCACTTCGATGCCTCACCATACGCGAAAATTTACAGGCATGCATAGCGTGTGGAGTCCCACGTCAGTGGCGCCAATACGACTGATGCAAAAAAAAAAAAATCGTCACAAGATGACGCCCCCCCCCCCCCATATGACGTTAACTTGACCCCAGACATCGCAGAAATTCGTGATAGCATCACGACGTGCCGTCACCCTATCAGTTTGTGTACTGTACAATGCAGCGTTGCTGAATATAATCTCGGAAGCCGTGGCCGATAACATGAACACCATGCCACGTCACGGTAGGCGGCGTGGCAATGCAGGTTTCTGTAAAGCCCCTGAATAAAATTTGCCGCTCGGGCACACGCTGTAGATCCCGCAATTCTTTATGCCGACAGTACCTACTGTATTCATGGATCTAATTTCGTAAACGTAACGTGATTGCCTAGTTGCAAGCAGTTGCAAGAAATGTACTTGTGCTTCAACTCAATTCTTGTCTGAAAATCGTTCAATTTGTTTATTTCCAGTCTTGTTCATACATTACGAGACCATTAACATTACATTATTGTATGATTGTGAAACGTGTAAGTACTTACGCTTTATGTCTATCCAACCACATTTTTCCAGTACATAGAGTCATCGGGCATACCTAATCTCCGGCAACCTGAAACGTCTGGAAATACTTTGTGTCATAGAGTTTCGTAAACATACACCAGAGGGGACTCTAGCAGTAGTTTCTATGGGAGCTGCAACGCACGGCGCTCCGGCGAGCACGGAATTGACGGGTAGTGCGCGTATTTGTCTAATATTCATAGTTCTGGCTCCGTGTGCGTTCCTCTGGCTTGGAGATGTTTTCTCGCAAAAGAAAAAAAAACAGCAAATGTTCAGTGGTTGCGTTTCACCCCATTATTCGTTTAGACTTACAATTTCAAATCGGGTCGCCAAGTTCGAAACGGTTCATTTTTTTTCTTCGACACAAAACCTGAACAAGTGCATTAAACGAAGCCAGAAGTGCGATTCGCCAATAACAAGTATGAAGACTAGGCAAATCCGTGTACTACTCATCATTCCCATAGTTGCTGATTGGTAGCAGCGTCAGAGTCGATTTGTGGGGTTTAACGTCTCAAAACCACTATTTGATTATGAGAGACGCCGTAGTGGAGGGCCCCGGAAATTTTGACCACCTGGGGTTCTTTAACGTGCACCCAAATCTGAGTACACGGGCCTACAACATTTCCGCCTCCATCGGAAATGCAGCCGCCACCGCCGGGATTTGAACCTGCGACCTGCGGGTCAGCAGCCGAGTACCTTAGCCACTAGACCACCGTGGCGGGGCAGCAGCGTCAGAGTCCTCTCTATAGTTAATATTAGGACTCTATGCTATGCGTAATTTGTTTTGCGTGTGCATAATGTGTCTTTCAATAAATGTATCGTTTTTTTTTAATATTAGTGTTCTGATGCAAGAAATGTTGATGTACTTTGTTTTTAAATTCACAAGGCGCTACCTGATTTTGAGAGCATTTACTTTTTTTTGTATAAAGGTATGTCTGCGTGTTCCACAGGTTGCAACGACTTCCCGCTTATCATAAACTAATTGTCAGAACAACCTGATTTCTGAACTGGTGCGTGCGACTGCGTCGAATTCACAAGCGTTCCACTTGTGCCTCAGGATGTGGTACAGCGCACTGCACGCTGACCATCTTTCATGCTGCTGGTTTGATTCTTATAATACCAGTTTCATAGGGCCACTTCTGTTCGCGATAAACGCCCATCTAGATCTGACTAGTTGATCGCAATAACATGTTCGTACCTGCTACACTGTACACTTTAAGGCGGATCTACTTTGGCGCAGACGCCAGCCAACTCCCGATCACTGAGTCAGATAGTGATGCAGCGATCACGATCGTCTTCATCTCAATCTGGCCTGATCGTGATTGCACGTGGCCATGTGTAAGCCCATGTTTCAGACCTAGTTTGATCTGGATCGACTCTCATAACGTTCAGAAGTTCCCAATTGGCACTGGTATACCGTTTGTGGGTGCTAAGGGTCGGTTTTCTGTTGGTTCACGACAGTTTACACCGGAAAGCACATGCGCCAGTACGTTTACTTAAAGGCATACGTAAGATTTTCTAAAAGGGGCGACAAATTATCATCAAAAAATACCCCCCCCCCCCTGTCATTGGTGGTTGGGCCTAAAGGACACCATGCTTCTCAATGAATGACAAAAAAAAAAACGAAATCTTGCACTCGGCTGGGCATTGCTTGAGGCACAGCGAAGTTGCCCTACTATGGAGCCTTTCGTGACTGCCACTATAACTCTAAAAAATAGTAGAGTAAGAAGTGTGTCTGTCCTCCAACAATAATCGTCCTGCGACTCGCATGATTTCTTGAAAATTTGGCGCTGGCCACTTTTCTATAAAAAACGTTATGGCACGCTGATAACGCGCATGTTGTCAGTGACCTGATAGCACCGAGTGCAGAGCCGTAATGCAAGGAAAGGAACGCAAGATAGAGAGGTGTATAAATTTTTGGTGAAGGGCTGACAGGGAACGCAAGATAGATGACCGTTATTGTTCTGGGACAAAAAGACGCCCTTTTTTCACCCGATCTTTTCTCATGGTGTATAGGTTAAACTTGCTTGAACTTGGCCAGTCGGCACCACCGGTAAGAGCACGAGCACGGCGGTGCTCGAACACAGCTTTCCCGCCGACTGTATCCTGACGTAGAGCGGGCATCGTTTCGATTGCGGTAATCACCGGTATCTTTTCGTCGTTCCTTGTTGTCTCTTTTTCGAGCCGCATAATTCACGATCTGCTCGTCATTGCCGTTCTCGCACACAAGCCTCGCTTCACGATGCTCCGCTCCTTCTGCAGGGAGCACGTGCGATACTTTCTTTGTGCGTCTCATGGCTGTATCTGCTCCAGCGTCGGCACTTGATTGCGCGAGGTATATCTGTCACTGGGTGTAGTTCAGCGGTGTAGCAGCTGCGTAGTTCTAGCTACTGCGCCTACGTGTCTTGGCGTGGAGTCACGAGGTTATGCCGGGTATTTCAGCATCTGCGGTGTCACTGGCTGCCGCGGCCATGGCGCAGCTGGCTTTTCGGGAAACGCGTGAATTTTGCGGCCGGTTAAAAAGTGGAAAGGAAGATATGCCATGCTTCTCAAGCAGCCATGCTTTTCGTCCCTTTTGGTCTTTAGATGAGAAGTGATCAGCTCTTGGGATGCCACATTCGGGGCCATCAGCCACTGTTATCATCAAAACCCCTTTTACAGCTACTGTGCAATTGTAGGAGGAAGACTTCTCACCACCGTCCACCATTGTTTGGTGATTGTGTGACGCCCCCTCCCCCCGTTCCTCTTTGTGCGCACGCTTATGCGTAGTCGTTGGTTTTGTGGCTTCTATGACACATTTGGACACCTCGTTTAAGTGTACCGCATTTGCTGCGCAACAAGAATTGCTATTCGTGAAAAAATACAGACTTATCGGATTGTGTGGCCGCTGAAGATCGTCTGCTTTCAGTGGGTGGTGATGCTTGACGTGACCAGGACATTCCAGCCCGGCTAGCACTCACAAAGAAAACATTTCAAGTAAGAACACTGACTTGGCCTCTAATTTACAGTTTTTTTTTACGTGTAGGAAATTATATTTCCTCGTCTGCAATGTCTGTTTACCTCTCTATTTTGTTTCCTTTTTTTGTGCATTCTTCATTTTTTTCCCTATCTTGGCCTGCTGATGGGGCAAGCTGGTGGGCGCCTCCAGGTAATATGTCCAGCTTGCTTTCTTCTTCTGTACCTCCCTTTGTTATTGTATGAATATCAGTAAATAATAACGGTGATGGTGGTTGCTTCGTTTTACAGGCTCCACTTTGTCGTCACTACAAAGGGACAGCAGTTTAGCAGCCTTACAGGGAAAGTAAAAATTCATTTATTTAAAATGGCACACTCATAAAGACAAAATGCAACCGTAGTGAACGTAATACAGCACATGCTGGCACACCAAACGAACAAGGTCCATCACGCTATTACCGTAGAGTTGTATATGACCCACATCTTCGATTTCTGTGTACTTGTGTTTGTGTGTAGTGCGTGCGTGTGTGTGTGTGTGTGCTGCTGTCCGCATGGAAAAATCACTAGTGTTCTTTACCGAACAGTGGGAAAACTGAGATATATTGGTTATTCGACCACTCTCTAAAGAGCAGCAAAAACTTTTTTTTACTTGATTGATTTATTGATTGATTGGTTGATTGAATGGTTCAGATGTATACTCGAAGCAAATAACTGATAAAATTCGAGATGGCCTTGGGGCTAGTAGATGGACTAATGCGATATAACGGTGAAAACCAGTCAGTAGGTGTCTGACATGTTCTTCAAGGCGAGGCGCTGCGTTGGCGTGGTCATCGATGGCAAGTATAAGGGTAGGCACGCACTCGCAGGACACTCGAGAAACAACCCGTTTTTTTTTCGAAGAATGGTCGCGAGAGCAGGGATGGGAGAGCGCCATAGCACTCTACTGCTCACCTACCTTAACGTAGTATAATGACTCCGAGTTATCTCGTTCGGAAAACGTTAAACCTGATGGGGCCACAGTATACATTGCTAGTTCTGTGAAATAAGCGTGTCGACTGCTTCAATTATGAGCTCGACGTAATGCTTGAAGCTCTGATCAAGTGGGTCCAGTGCTGGCAGGTTGGGAAGAGACTTGCACAACTCTGATCCGCCTTCGTGGCTTCCACACAACGGCGTCAGAGCATCGCCGAACACCTTTTCGACCAAGCTGACGGTGAAATCTCTCCCTCCAACTTTTTCGCAAGATTTTAGCGCTGGTTCAAGGCAGTCGAATAAGCCACCATACGAGCTGAAATGAAAAGCGAAGGAAAGAACGTCCAGTAATTCAGGTAATTCCCAGGCAGAGGTCGCGGGTAGCACTCGCGCGCTAGGCTTTCAGCCTGGTAACCCCACTGACTTAGAACAATAATGACTACATTTGCTTAAGCGTGTTTGAATACTTTTTAATAGAGCAAGGCAGGCTAAGAAGTGGTGAATTTACTCATGCTCTGCTGCACAATACTTTAAATACGTTGTGGCGACTGTAAACGGTTCTAAAGCTTCGGTTTATTTACCATGTGCTACACGCTTACGAGATCAGGATGCAACTTGGCCAGCTGTATTTTCCGAATAACTCCTAGGCTGAGCTTCAGAAGCACTCTCTTTTGCCCCTCGGCGAACAAATCGTCATATTTTCTCACTCCTTTACCAGCGCAGGCAAAAAATCACTACGCAAAGTATGATTAATATTTGAAAGGCTTTCCAATTAATTAAATTTCATTCGGCGGTCACTGCAAAAGATCAATACACAGGCGAAATAGGCCATTTTTCACTAATCACATAGCGGTGTTGCGTTTCACTCTTTATCATCAGCATCATCATAAACCTAATTACGTCCACTGCAGGACAAAGGCCTCTCGCATGTTCCGCCAGTTAACGCGACCCTGTGCTTGCTGCTGCCAATTTATACCCGCAAACTTCTTAATCTCATCTGCCCACCTAGCCTTCTGTCTCCCCCTAACCCGCTTGCTTTCACTGGGAATCCAGTTTGACTCTTGCGTCACCCTCAAGGACCTGGAAACGCCGCTAAGAGCGCAGGAACCACTCTATCCCAAATTGCTCATGCACAACGTTTCTGCGGTCGTTTTATATTTGTTAGACGTCTAAAATGCTACTGCTATAAAATCCATGTGATAGTTCAGTAAACTGATTCAAAGACTAATCTAATCCATGGAGGTTTATTGTAACACAGTTTGACACAATTCTAGTTGTGAGAACATGTACAAATAATTAGGATAACTGATTTGCTACTCTACACGTTGGAACAGGATGGGGGAGATTGCAAGAGGAAGATGAATAGAGAGGAGGATAGCACGTAACACAGCACACATACAGATGCTTTTCCTTCTCTACAACTTCTCTCTCTCTCTCTCTCTACAAATAATTTCAACCTTTAGCAATCATGTAAACAGGAGACGGATAAGGCAAATCGCGCCACATACTGCTCTCGAATAATTCTTCACGATTAAGAATTTATTCTCGATAGTACATTTTCTAAGCAGAAACAAATAATTGGTAACAGGCGCACAAACGATATTTGGCTGGCGCTACAGCCCAGCCCATAGAACTGTTCAACCATGTCTGCTTTTGGGGAAAGTGCGTGATAGTAGAAAGTTCAGTTTAACCTTTCTTCGTTGTTTGCTGAATGAGGTAGAAGCATTTTGAACAAAAAAAGAGGGGGAATTGCACGGGATTGCTTTCTTTGTTAGGCATGATGCTACTTGAAGCGAACAGGAAAGAATATTGTGGCCATGCAATAAGAGGACCATGCAGATTTACTCACCAGCAGAAATAAGCGAAGAAGCCTTCCCTGGGCGCCTTCGAAATGGCCTTCAGCTTATGTCCAAAGAAATCGTTGACGCAGCCATGGATTTTCGTGCCAGCAGAATTCAAGCAGCCGACAGATTTGTGGTATGCTGGGTAACAGTCATGAACATCAGGTCAGCATTATACTGCTAAGTAGCCGTGATCAGCATCGAAAGCATGGACCATTGTTAAAGTATAAAGAGCAAAACAAAAGCAATTACACGACGTGCTATTTTTCATGCTACGTTCAGTTGCTAGCAAGTATTTTTTTTTCCGAGAGGTAAGACTTTTTCAAGTGTTTTATAAACTCGGGCTAGAATCATCGGAACTGCGTTTTGAAAAGCAATTTTACGCACAAATCTATGAGCGGTGTCACTGATCAAACAACGCCAAGGCACGTAAAAAAAAAGAAACTGAGGTGATTGTTTCGGCACGTAGGCGATACGCGAGAAAAACAAAATTGCCCCGTATCTACAAGTTTTACTGCGAATGTCGTTGAAAGACAATAGTCTTGCGTCCAAAAAGAGTAGACAAAACGTTTATTTGATGTTCTACGCGAGAAAATCGGTCAATTGTATTTTGGAGGCGCTGCGTTAGAGTGCTTCGATCCGTGCATCGAAGGCAAACGAGCGCATCAAGACACGTGGACATGAGCGCTATCTGGCAGATATCTTCGAAAACGAAGAAAGGCATGCGTGTCCGTCTTGGAGGCGATAAGGTGTAGAACGCTAAGCGACGGGCAGGTGCCACCGCCATGTCGTCTTAGCAAGGCGTATGAAACACCTGCTTTGTTTAACGTCGTGTTGCATTGTCAGCGCAGCGTGATAAACGCTACTGCCCTTGGAATTACTTCTGTATGCCTTCTCTGTTTTTAAGACACACATATAAAATAATCAGGTGTTGTTACGGTGCCTCAGATATGCGCAATAATTGTTTTTTATTGACAATTGCAAAAGTATGAAGGCTGAAGCTTGCGCAATATTATTGGGCTTTGCGGATGTGGTTGGTTGTTTCGGCTATCGTTTGGTGCCGTTTGGGGTATCGTTACATCGGACCAACAGACAAATGTACAAAAACAAAGACAAAACTTTTGGTGTCAAAGTACCCCAAAAGGACTATTGTCATTAAACATTCACAGAGAAGAGGCTTGAGAGAGAAGGGCCGCAAGTCTCTAAAGCTCCTCTTGTATCCTCGTCTTCAGGGCTTTTAGCTTATATCGCGAAAAACATACCTTAGCCTGAAGGCCCACTCCCTAATTCATTGAAAGAATGAAACATATTTTCTTAAACTGAACGCAAATATTTTCAGCGTGTTCACTACTGTTTGAACCTGAAGTAAACAAAGTAGTAACAATGAAACTTCTAATAAACATGGTACACGACTGCTGGTACAAACTGCGTGGAATGATGGACCATTTCAATAATTCCATCTTGTCTTCTCAAGTAAAAATTAAACTAACATAAAAATTCAGTAAAGTGATTTGAAGAGTAATATAATAAACGCAATTTTTCTATTTGACACAGCTTGACATCATGCCAGTACTGAACAACCTTAATAAGTTATTGAATCCTTCAACAAAGCCATGTAAAATTAATGCTGACACGGCCAACATATCCACTTCAGATGATTATGCAGGCACTGCTGACGGGACAGTGTATTGATTACGGGTTCATGTTGATAAATTTATGCATCTAAAATAAAATCGTTGCATTTATTTATAAAGGCGTTAAAAGCGCAAGTCATATTCGTTGTAACATTAGAAGCCGTGCAGCTAAAAATAAAATCTTTCATAAAATCATTTTATCTTCATGATCCTTTGAGCAAAGAAGTATCATTACGTTGACGCATAATGGATTACCGTTGTACAGCTTAGAACCCGGGGTGCAGATCTCGTCGATGCTCGCCTTGTAGGAGTCCAGCGCCAGTATTGCGGCATCCTTGAATACATCAATGAGACAGTCATTGACGAAGTTCCTACTGCATGATATCTGTTCCTTGTACGTCCTGTAATGAATAAGGCGAACACAGTGTTAAATACCATCTGCAGATTAATGAATAATGCTTTCAAATACTGTGAGCACTCCTTGTAGGTATTCAGAAGGCTTTGTAGCACGAAACGCTAGTGTCGTAGCTGGGCCACGTACTCCCTTCAGTAGCGCTTTTATGACAGTTACAGCTGTCTTATGCATTTATTTTCGGTACTCACAATGTTTTATTATAACAGGCATTTGGTATGTCTTCAAAGCAAAAAAAAAAAAAACAGAGAGCACAAAAAAAACAAAAAAAAAACGTCCATCTATTCAACACTCCGAGTACCACCATCTCGCATCTTTTCATCATATATTCCGCATATGCACCGCCATCCAGTGAACATTGCAAGGACTAAACGAGAGGTGGCACACGCACAATTTCTTACGGCTTGAGCTTCGTGTCTACTTCCCACCTTTAACCACTTCGAGTTCATGGTGCATAGTAGTTCACTGTATTCATGGCACTGCGGCCCAAGGCTCGCTGCCCAGCGAGTATAACGTAGCAACCCTTTCTTGTCAGATAGTGCTCAATGTACATGCCAATGACTGCTAAGGGTGAATGAGAGACAGGAGAATTCGGTTTTAGATAACGCGCACGCTGCGAACTTTTTATTGTTCAACAACGCACAGAATAAATCTCTCACCAGCCCCACCTTGGAGATCAAAATGTAAGACTGGTTACACCCTACGACTACTACTACGACTACGAGGGACGAACGGGTACTGCTATAAGGAGCTTCGCCCCTAAATGTGTTGCAGGGCCCCTTTAAGTTGATCAAGCTTAGCTCTGTAGCAGTTCACAAGTTACCGCGAACGTGGCCCTTTATCAGTGCATAATTGTTTATAGTGAAGCGGCCGTATCCGGATACCATTGCTCTGGCAAAAACTGCGTGTAGTTTGATCGGTCAGGTGTTAGCGCTCGCGTCCATTCTTGAGTGAGATCATGAGACAGCGGACAGCCTCGTTTTTACTGGGTTCCCGTCGCTATGTTGGAATTATAGCGAGATCCAGCATGACGGTCGTTTTGCTCGGTGCAGCGCGCGTGTCCTCTTACGCGAGCCATTTCTTGAGTATAGACCATACTGTGCAGAACGTGTCGACTGTTAGCTGCAGTAGAGTAAAAAACTTAAGGACGCTTGGTAATGCATACTTGGTGAACTGAAGTGCAATAGACGGGACAACAAAAAGGGAAGATAGACGCTTCGTCCTTTGTGTTTCTGCTTGTGTTGTCCTGTTTATATCGCTTCGTTTCATAGAATTTTATAGCTTTACTGGTGCATCGTGTCATTTTGTTGCTGTAACGTTGATACATACGCCCTAGTGGCGAAGCTGCAACTTTTTAATGGCGATAAAAAACTATAAAGAAGCAAGGATGACTACTCTGCAACCTACAGTGCACTTGAATCGCTTAACAACGGAAGCTTGCGCAAATGAAATTCTCACGGCAGCTAAGAAATGTGGCGTCCACTGCGAACGTTCATAGAGTTCAATGCATTTGTCCCCTTTCGACAGCGGATATATTTTAAATAGCACTCCCGGATTGGCTAGAGTTTCAGGGAGATATTCGCAACCTGATAAAAGATGGGGAAAAAAATGGTGGCGTATCTTAGTGCGTTACAGCAAATGTCGTCTACAGACCACAGTCCCACAGTCTTCTGCCAGCCGTACTATTTGAGCCTTGGTCTCATCCGCAGTCACGCGTGATGCCTCAGACAGTGCCTTGCCTAAGTTTAATCAGCCACATCTAGCTGACATTGATGAAATAGAGGAGGCGCTGCGTAAGATATGGACGCCACCTGGCAGTAATGTTGCGAGAGAAACGCTTTTGTTCATGGCATCCGCGATGAGCGCGCACTGGTGGTTTTCTCTCCGGCCGTTTGAATGGCCGCACTCCCCGTCAAGATAAACAGTGCGGTTTTCAGAATTGCGTATCTACGTATTTTCTAAAGAGAGAAACACACTGCCTAGCACTTTCTTATTGCCCCGCCGCGGTGGTCTCGTGGCTACGGTACTCGGCTGCTGACCCGCAGGTCGCGGGTTCGAATCCCGGCTGCGGCGGCTGCATTTCTGATGCAGGCGGAAATGTTGTAGGCCTGTGTGCTCAGATTTGGGCGCACGTTAAAGAACCATAAGTGGTCGAAATCTCCGGAACCCTCCACTACGGCGTCTCTCATAATCATATGATGGTTTTCGGACGTTAACCATTTCGGCCCTGGCGGTGTCAATTGACACCACCACACAACATTTCCCCTATATATCTCGGAAACGTAACCAATACTACTCATTCTCTGGGGCATAGTTCTTCAATAATACCCACTGCAATTGGCACTAATATTGTGGCACGTTTGTGGAGGTAGCAGTGAAGGTAGCAGTGGCGGCGGCGGCGGCGGCGGCGGTGGCGGTGGCGGTGGCGGTGGCGGTGGCGGTGGCGGTGGCGGCGGCGGTGGTGGCGGCGGTGGCGGCGGTGGTGGTGGTAGTAGTAGTAGTAGTAGTAGTAGTAGTTATCCACCTTCACGGCCAGACTTCACGGCCAAACAAAACGGAGCGGCACGCGCGCACCATTTTCAATTGAGAAGAAAACCCGCGCATGTTAATAATTAATAAAAAATAGTTGTTTTTCAAGCAATATATTACAGAGACGAGTATTGTCGACTTAATCGCCAAAAAAGTTTGCTTTTCTTTCAATGCCTTCTTAAAAGACCTAGTTTAAGAAGGACGCACTTTGAGCACTATCTGACCTGAAAGGGTTGCCACAATAAACTCACTGGGCGTAACCTTCTTGGTTTTAGCAAGGTTTGGCGAGGGTTGGGCTGCAGTGCCATGAATATAGTGAACTCGCATACAGCAACTAGAGGCGGCGAAAGGTGGGAAGTAGCGACGAAGCGCAGGCCGTAAGAAAGTGTGCGAGTGCCACCTCTCGTTTAGTTCTAGGAATGTCCGCTGTATGGCGGTACTTCAACATGCTGAATATATGATGAAAATATGCGAGATGGCGGTATTTGAAGTGTTCAATAGATGAGCGGACCGATGAACGGATGGACAGACAGACAAACAGATGCATGGACGGATGCGCGGATGAATGAACGGACGGATGGACGCATGGACGAATGCCGAGATGGATGCACGATGAGCGCACGAGTGGACGCACGGACAAACGAATGACCGCGCAGACCATCGCACAGACGGACGCGCGGATGGACGGAAGCAAGAACGAACGGAAGGGGTTGACGCTTCGCCCCACTCATCATCATGCGCTCCATGGATATGCTGTGATTTTTTTTTTTTTGGCCGGGGTTCACCACAGCTCCACTGACATATTTAGGTACTGTATATGCCGTTGTAAAATATATACAAATACTTGCAACGAATAAATTACTTGAAAAAGTTAGTCGATGGTATACTCTATTCGGCGAGCCCTCTCTCCGCAGAGCGTGGTGCTATCCGACTCGGCCACAGAGCGCTTGATCCGCAGCTCAGTAACGGTTAGCTATGTGAATACCCCATTGGCCATTGGTGTTACAAAAAGCTCGGTGGCTTCAACGTATTCTCGTTTTCACTAGCGACATGAGCGAAAACCACGGAAGGTGCGCTTAAAAGGTCGTCTTCCGCACGTTGCGATGCGTGCGCTGTTATTTCGTGGCGAGGGTAGTATGTACGTCCCGTGCTTTCACCGCGAGTTCCCGTTAGCGCAGCAGAGAGCACGAAGGTCTCCTTGGTCACTATACGGCGACCACATTGGCGAAAAGAGCACGTCGCTTACCCACAGACGTTTGCGACAGTTGTTGGTTCACATTCGTCCTGTTCTATTCGTGTGTCCTCGCTGCTTAAGGAGGGCGCTGCAGCTTTCAAGGTGTTTTCCATTGTTTGCGTGACGTTATAAATTTTTGATATACCGTTTATGTATACCTGAGACAGAATAATCAGCCATAATCTTCGCGCGCGCGCGCGCGCGCGCGCGCGCGCGTGTGTGTGTGTGTGTGTGTGTGTGTGTGTGTGTGTGTGTGTGTGTGTGTGTGTGTGTGTGTGTGTGTGTGTGTGTGTGTGTTAACCTCATCGTGCATGAAATATTCAGTGATGCTGTCATAAAGCGTGTGTGAGTAGCGACGGCAGGAGTGAGTAGCAAAGAAGTTCACTTTTGAAATTATTGACACTTTCCGCAGCGGCTACGATCACGACGACGCTATGCAAGTCTCATTGAGGAGTGAGGCTTGAGCCGCCAAGCTCCTTTGAAGAAACTATCTATCTATGCATCTATTATGAAGCGTTTTTATTCGAACCAAGGAAAACTTGGCTATTTGTATCCATCTGTCTAACTGTAAGCGCGCGAACGCCTTCATAGTCGTCTACTAAACTTTGTACATGCCGTAACGGCGTAGGTGGCTGCAGTGTTTGTAGTAAGTTGTTTAACTCCATCACAAGCTTTGTATTTTATTCTTTGGAGATAACGAGTTTTTTTCTATAGCGTTTTATGTTCCCACAGGAAACACTGATTCCAACGAACGCCTTTCAACTTAGTTCCGACATAAAAGACCGAAGTGATGTAAGTTGAGGGCTATTGTTTTGTCAGACAAAGGGCTACGCTTTACATGCCGCTGCACTCAACGTACCTGTTTAATCCATGAAATTCATAACAGTTCTGAATTTACACAAAGGTGTCTGCCCAGCTCGTAATGCTTCAATGAATAAATAAATAGAAAATTAGGGCAATAGCAGCTACTTGCGATAGCTGCACACGAAATCGTCACCCACGAAGGGTGGGAACAGCTAGAATTTTTGTATATGACTATCCTCATTTTGTTATTCCTCCAGAAAAATATTTCGAAAAAAAAAAACACATGCCCGGCAAATAAGCTGATACTTCTCCACCGTGGACACGGTCGCTTCTCACCTCTGCGCACTGCTAAGTTGTTCTTCAGTCACTCCGTCAACAACGCCTTCCTTTATTAACGTCCGAGTACTACTCTATGCTATGCACATCAACTACATACAAATGTACTATATTTTATAATCACCTATATACCACGAACCTCCACTATATACCACAAACACCAACAATATACCATCGAATAAATGCCATGGTCATCGACACCTGCTCATCTAAAGAGTTTGCTGGCTCGGATCCGTGCTCGTGGGACAAGCTCATCCTCTTCTGTCGCCTCTTACCTGCTACTCGCACTTCTGCTCCCACGAAGCAGCAAAACCATGCGCTCGTGCAAGGATTCAGAATGTACCTAGTGCATATTGCGCGATGAATACATCTATTTCTATCTGTCAAAGTAAAGAGTGCCGACAGAGCACAGGTTTTCCGCATGTGTTCTCTTTAGCGTTGACTGAGAGGAATGCGACATGGTGATTCTCCACTTACCTACATTGCTTTACGAATGGCGCACCCGAGGTGGCGATCTGCGATCTCTTTCCGAAAGGAAGGTAATCGTCACCACAAGCGCGCAGTTTATCCTAATGTGCAACCATCTTTCAGCTTGGCATGAGAAGCACCTGTAGGGATATAATAATGCAGCCTTCACATGCGCAACTAGAAAAGTGTATAAATATTGACACTCTTGGACACCTGAAAAAAAAAAAAAAAAGCAGAGGTGTTCGCTGTAGTGTACAGCCTTCCCGAATACTCGCCCAGGAAAAAAAAAAAAACTGTATGATCATCTGGCAAAGCTCGAAGCACTGTCCTATGCATTATTTTTTTGTTATTATCATGTGGTGGTTTTGGGACGTTAAACCCCACATATCAATCAATCAATTATTTTTTGTTATTTTCGCAGTGCGAAAGTAACGGCGTGGCCATTACCTTGAGTAGATAACATGGGGCGCATCGTAACGCAAATAATGCGATGTTGCATTACGAAAAATGGTGGGCACTCTTCTCACTAAAGCGTAAGAAATAAAAAAAAAACAAATAAAGACACCATACTGTGAAAACCACTTTCAAATTTCCGCATTTCTTTACATCGTGTACATCTCAGAGTGATTGTCAAGCATAGCAGTGAATGGGAAATCCACGAAAGTTATCGTAATAGGAAAGGGCGAATACCAAAGTCAATACTGGTGTAGTTTTCTTACGCTTACTTGAGGTTGCCTACCTGTTACAATTAATAAAACACAGGCGTTTTGAATCTCTTCGTTCGTACCCATTTTTTCATATTTCATATTACAGAAAATTCAAGTAAAGTTCTAATAAGATTACATAACACCACTTTTTGTTTGAAATATGTGTTCTGGCAAGGAAACTTTTGCGGTTTTTCGCTAGGTTTGCTCAAAACTCAGATGATATTCCACTTGCAAAAACAAGTGTTTTTCGCGGCCGAAATTTCGGTAAGTTTTCAGCTGAGCCTATTTTTCTCAAATGTATGCTAAAAATCAGTATTCCGTGTCCAAAATCTGCATCGAGCAGAAGTTTCATCAAGATCTGTATTAGTGACAGGGCCTAGTTTTCTGCTATGTGTATTCGCCACGTTACTTCTCCGTTCTAAACATTCATGCGATAGCGTCAAACAGCTTGGTTTGTAGAAATTCCAGCGTTGGCGCCTTTGACGGTTGTTGTTGGCTGTGAGCGAAGAACTATCATCCTGTCCTGACCACAAAGTTGAGAAAGATTGAAATTGAATACTTAATAAAAATTATAATTACGTGAGAATCAAACCGAGGCCGTCTGCATGGCGAGCAGGTGTTCGACCACAGAACCTCGCAACTTGTAATAGCCTTGAAAAAAAAAAAAGAATTGCTATCTGAATGTCGTGTAGTTGAACAATTCCCCTTAAGTATGTTATAATACATGGCAGAACTGAAATTCGCACCAGGTGTCAAAACATGCGAATTGCGCAAGCAGTGGGTGTTTATAAAGCGCACCATTTACAAAGCGTACAACATAGTTATTTCTCATTGGTTGCGAAGGTTTCAAGGAAATGAGACGCTCTTTAGGCTTACGTGTCGCGTTGCCGACGCGTAGTGAGCCCACCGCCAATCATCGAAAAGAAAGAATGGTGGTCGTGTTGGGAACTTATAAACTGTACTTCCAGTAGGCGTTATAGGATAGTTTGAAAAAGTCCCATGTTTTGCACATTGTTGTTTGTTTCTTTACGGCTCGATTGAGGCATGCTCCAAGAATCGAAGAGAGGCTAGCGATTGGGAAGGTGATGTAAAAGGGACCCGATTACGCAATCGCATTTTACTCTTGAAGGCGAAGCTCAAGCATGCTTCAAATTATTTACATCTCCAGTAAATGGTAGCAGAAAGACCATATAATAGCAAACGCTTAAAAGGTTGAAAGCACAAATAGCCTTACCGATCATACACGTCGCGAACAGGATAATTCCAACGCCAGCGTATGTTCTTAGCATCTTCGAAGCCCTTCCTTACACGCAGACCAGAAACAACTGAAGTGCAGCACGATAGTTGAGAGCAATTTAACAGAAAGTACATTTGCTATAGTGAAACGAACAAGGCAAAATTTACGCCATGGAAAATGCTGTAGCGACCCTCACATCATATGTGCGCAAACTTGATTTGAGTTTTTATTGAGTATTCAAACCACTATAACGTGCGTCGAAGCTTTCCTATCAAGCACTTCCTTCAAGGAAAGTGTCTTATTACCAGCATAAAGGTATCGCAGATTTTAGCTTTTCTTCATAGCCGTGTTTCCAAGAAGAAGAAGCTGTGGAAAAGCAGCGGCACGCAGACTGGAGAAGGTCTGAGTGCGTGCTTTGTGTTTGAAGAAAGTTGTAGTCCCTCGAGCAGGCTCTCACACTCTAGAATTACGTCGCGAGCTGGAAGACCAATGACCGTGCCTTCGGAGAACCTTTTCGAGTGCATGAGCGGCACTAATTTATCGGTCACGCTCCCCATCGGTGGCCACGCTTTGGTTGTCCGGACACTGGTCGTATTCGGATCGGTCTTCTTAATTTGTATTCGACTAGAGCCTATGTAATGAGCCACCCTGAGCATCTAGGGTGGCAGCAAGCACTGTACTGGGAAAAAAGCAGTGTGATTGGACGCCTTGTCCCTTCCAAAGAGAAAATATTTTGCCTGCTTGGTGAACCTGCACTTGTGATCGCTCTCTATGTGTAGGCGAAATGCAAAATGCTTGAGACCCGCATATTTAGATTAGGGTGACGCTTGAAAAAAAAGCCTGGTGGTCGAAATTTTTGCTACCCTTCACTGCGGCGTTCCTCATAATCATATCGTGGTTTCTAGATGTAAACCCTTCTCATCTATTCAATTATTATTGTCCATCTTTTAGAGAAAGTATGAGGCCCTGCTGTAAGAATACAAAAAAGTGCTCGAAACTACATACCGCGGTTATATGTGTTGACGTTTTGCTCAATACAGATACACACATACTTTGTTGAATATAATCTGCAAACATTTTTTGCTAAGTGGGTTTTATACGTGTTGTTCCACCCAACCACGACAAAAAAAAATCGAATATTTACTCACACCTCCGGCTCCATCACAAAATGTACACTTTTCTATAATGACACAATTTCGTAAACACGATGTTTATGCGACTGCCACATTTGTGTGCTGAAATGTGATTTATACCTCAAGTATGTAGATTTCTTCAATTACTTTTACATGAAATTGTTTTATGCCGGGGTGCATCATGGCTCCACTGACGCATTTTTCATCACGGATATGACGTTGTAAAATGTAAACTAGCTTTTTAAAAAGAAAAAAAAAACGAGAAGAAGAAAGGTTTAGTTACGGAGCGTGCATCCAGCGACCGCTCGATCCTCAGCGCATGGCACAAAACAAGCTTGTTAGGAGCAAGCTATTTAGGTACACCGTAATCCATTTGACGGTCCACAGAGCTCCGAAATTCCAGCGCGTTACTCGCGAGATGGCGCGAAGTCCTCGCGGTGTGCGTGCTCCATAGGTCATCGATTCTCTTTCGCGTTTTGAGGAGCACGTGGTTTTCGCAGCGCATGGTCTCTCTTGTCAGACTCGTGCTTCGGGTGAGCTCAAAGCTCGCTCGCTTGCACGGCCGTGTTTACGAAAGGATCACGCTGCTCAGTAGGAACTGTGACAGATGCTTGCGCGTGTATTGTGTATGCCTATGTGTTCGTTTCATGCGCCTTTCTTTCTGTTTGAACAGTGCGCTTCTAAGTGTCGATCTGTGACAGCTAGCTAGTCTACGCTCGTCCTAATGATATATGGAGTTTAGTGTCCCAAAACCACCATATGATTATGAGAGACGCCGTAGTGGAGGGCTCCGGAACTTTAGATCATCTGTGGTTCTGTACCAGGCATCTAAATCTGAACGAACGGGCCTACAATATTTTCGCCTTCATTGAAAATGCATCCGCCGCTGCCGGGATTCGATCCCGCGACCTGCGGGTCAGCAGCTGAGTACCTTAGCCTCTGGACCATCGTAGCGGGGCGCACGCTCGTCCTGTACATGCCCATTTTGTGCGTGCTTTCTCCATGAGGTGCGCGCTGCAGGTTTGGTGTAGTTTCCGTTCTTCTCGTGCTTACGCAATTCGATGCTATAACATTCATTTCTTCAGATTTATGCCGAAACATTGCGCAATACAAGCTCAACTCCATCTGTGAAGACATGTTTCACTTTGGTGTTATACCGATTCCCAGAAAGAGGTATCAACCACGTTTTTCTCTGTCAAGACTGTATATTTAGTTTTACTTTTTAAGATGTCATATCCAAAATGTCCAAAATGTCTGTGTACAAAATGCCGGTCTCCAGCTTAACTTGAAACAGTGCCTATTCGCCGCTAAAAAACTAACTATACTAGTCCACGTCGTCTCCAAAGAAGGCATTCTTCCTGATCCTGCTTAACTTCCAGCCGCCTCCAAGTTCCCGAAGCCTACTAACCTGAAAGCACTGCGCACCTTCATTGGCCTATTTTCATATTTTCGGCGCTTCGTTCGTAATTTTGCTACTGTCATCGCACCTCTCAAGACACTCCTCCAAGGCGACAACGAACTATCTACCTGGTCAGGAGCTTGCGACGTTGCATTTACGACACTTCGACGCCTGCTTACGTGTCCTCCAATTTTGCGTCACTTTGCTGCGAGCGCACGCACAGAAATTCACACTGGCGCTAGTGGTGTTGGCATTGCAATGGTGCCGTGCTCGCACAACGTGACGATGCCAACGCCGAATACGTGGTTGCATATGCCAGTCGTGCACTCACGAGACCCAAGACCAATTACACCGTAACCGAAAAAGAGTGCCTGGTCATCATATGGGCTCTACAGAAGTTTCGCCTCTATTTTTACGGTCCCTCTTTTGGCGTCGTAACAGACTACCACGCTCTGTGTTGGTTGTCAAACCTCAAAAACCCGTCAGGTCGCATTGATCGGTGGACCCACCGACTCCAGGAATACGACATCCGGGTCGTATATCGCTCTGGCCAACAACACTCTGATGCTGACGCCCTGTCACGCTTCCCGCTTATTTCAGACGCCAGCGCATGTAGTCAAAATCACAATATTTTGCCACTCGACATCTTGGACATGGCCTCGGAGCAACGAAACGACCCTTGGATCGCCACAATTCCGAACTTTTTGTCAAGCCCCCTGACCACCCCGGCTCCACGAGCGCTACGCCACCAAGTGCTGCATTACGCTATCCGCTATGGTCTTTTGAAATGAAATGAACAGATTTATGTCGCTATTTCTTTGTGGGATGAAATTGCCGAGTGTGCTTCTAGCATTTTCTCTAGCGGGTGACGCTATTTTTAGAGAGTGTTCATGCGCTCCTGATTGGGGGGGGGGGGGGCACGTGACGGCTCCCCAGGTATTTTACACTCCCAGCGCCACATGATTCGCTGTCACGCTGGTGTTAAAACAAATGACGAATTAATCAAAGTTTGATGCTCTCATGTAGGAAACGGATGTTTTTTTTTTTCAGTATATACTTCGCTGCGTGCTGTGGTATAGCTGTTTGCTTCACAACGGCTCTCATACGTTTTATATGTCGTCATATAAAGCGTTTGACCCCCCTCCCCCCTAACGTGACATTTGAAATAAGAATAAAAGCTGGGACGCCGAGTGTACAGGCTGTCATCGTATCGTTGATTCATTCACGTTTCATGAAAATGTCTCATTATTTTTCTGTGAAACTGTATTGCCTTGATCCTGGCAGAACGCATCCGCGGACAGAAAAGCTTGCGTAACAACGATCTTAGAGTAAAAGTGCTAGTTGGGTGATTTGGTGGATATTCATGGTGAAATTTGTAGCGCAGCAGCACAAAGAAGACAAACGAGCTCTGACTTAAACTTTATTGGTTTGAAAACTATACCTAACATTTGAGCATCAAAATATCAGGTGCTCTTCCACCTCTCACCAACGCCGAATGCCTCCTTTGCAAGAGTCGCTAGAGGTCTATTCACAGGAGAGAAAATGCCGTCATGCTGGGCTGCGTGTGGCAGCACAAAGCATGACGTCACAGTCTCGAAAGTGCAATTTTTTTGTGTATTGACGCGTAGTCAGTGCAGTCTAGAAAGCACTATAGTGGTGCACAGTGATGTGAAAGCTTCTATAGTGAGTGGTGGAAGTTATCACCACTCTTGGGGCTCACTTGTCGCGTGACGTAGAGAACGTGCTGGCGCTGTTTCCATAAGTTGCACTGTGGACTCGCCACGCTCGTGATGCGCCTCATTTGCTCAGAGTAAGCGGAACAAGGATTGAAAGAGCTCCTACGCGCGCAGAAGCCCAAGCGGACGCGAAATCGAAGTGCAGCCACCGCCGCTGAGTTTCACCGGCTTCCTTCACCGTAGCAGTGAAAAGACATGTTTTTTTCCAGCATCTGCATAAATGAAGCCACTGCAATGACTTTAAAGTCCTTTATATCCTTCTTTTTTTAATAGTTATAGATTCTCTTTATCAACTGCAATGGCCACGGCCATAAATGCCCATGGTGGTATCCACTTCTTCCGTTATCAGTAACAATTTCTCAACGACACTAAATGACATGACGTTCTCGATTAAGGCTAGCATGCTAAGGCGAACACAGCGCCTAAAAGGAATTGATTGATATGTGTGTTTTAACGTCCCAAAACCCCCATATAATTATTAGAGACACTGTAGTGGAAGACTGCGGAAATTTGGCCATCTGGGGTTCTTTAACGTGTGCCCAAATCTGAGTACACCAGCCTACAACATTGCAGCCCCCACAGCCGGGATTCGATCCAGCAACCTGTGGGTCAGCAGCCGAGTACCTCAGCCAGTAGACGCGTCTAAAAAGAATGTACATTGCTATCTGAATTGCAACTTGTAGCAACCTCTTTTCTCTTCTTAATTTTTATACATCAGACCTGCTCCCAAAGTGAGCGATAGGCAACCAAACGCGGTTGGCCTCCCTTTGTTTTGTTTTCTCGGCCTCGTCCATATGTACCATTACAATTCACGAAAGGTCATCGTGTTCATTGATTCGTCTAGTGAAGTTATTATTGGGATAAATTGACTTTGTGGCGAAAGCAATTACTTACAAAAATTATTATTGAAAAAATAAAGAGTAGATATTGAGCAATTA